ACTCTCCATTAGGTTAGACTTCCTTTCGGACTTTATTATGTAAATTCTTTATATATCATGTAGAAATTGGTTTTGATGAATCCATGGGCTAACTATTCTCACCAATTGCCCCAGTCTGTGATTTATCCTAAATGCTATGTCTGTTCTTAACTGAAATTTCCTCTTCTCTCCTACTATCTGCTGTTTTGCAGGAACTTGTCTTTTCCTGAGGGTCAATCAAGAATCAAAGTCCACAGCAATCTTTATCTCTTCCTTGTTCACTCTTCACTAGCACAGGTAAAGTTATTTTGTTATTTTATGTACACATATATTGTAACTTCAATGAGATGGGAAGCTACCGAACTGACAGTCCCTTGCTTTTGCCATAACTCCCAGTGTCTAACTCATAGTGGGAATTTAATAAATATTTGTTGGCTGTTTCAACAATTCTACTTTATAGAAAAATGTTTAATCTATCCCCTTTCCCCAAGATATGTACACTATGGGCAATTTCCCTGTGCATTTCTTCAATCATCTTTTTTGTGTGATTTGTCTTTTGTTCCATTTGTCATTAGGTCACACCTGCTTATAGTGTCTGAGGTTCTAAATCTAAACAATAAATTGAGAACAATGTTAAGGACCTGATTTTCTCAAAATTCTCTGCTGACACAAAAAATAATCTAGCATTTTTCAAATTGAAAAATGCATCTAAAAGTCTAACTTATTCCCTAGGTCAGGCCTTATTTCACATAAAGTGAAACCTGTCTTCTCAGACACTAAAGAAAGACCATGACTTTATAGTAGTTTTTTGGATTTATTTGTTTTTTAAAGTTAAATTCAAAAACCAAATCTATACTACATTAAAATACCAAATCTACACTACACAACACTAAAATCTAGTTCATTGATGGGTCAAATTGTGCTTCTTATTACTACTGGTTCTACTGTATTTTCTTAAAAAAACTTTTTTTTATATCATAGAGCATTTCCAAAAGATACAAAATTAGTGAGAATGGACCCCTTATGTACTTATCACTCAGCTTTCACCATTATTAATTCACATCCAATCTTTTTCATTCATACCTTCATACAATGTTTATCCTTTCTGAGTTACTTTGAAGCAAATCCCCAGTGTCACATCATTTTATACTAAAATATAAAATTTAAGTTCAAAAATTTAGTTCAAAGCTCTGGAGTCCCCTGCATTTTGTGTATGTGTGTGTGTGTTCTTCATTCAGACATGCATTTTCATATAATACTCAACTTGGAGCTGAAGAAACAAAGATGAATGGAACATGAAACTTGAGGCTTCTTGGGTAGCTCAGTGGTATAGAGTCCACCTGCCAATATAGGAGATGCAAGAGTCACAGGTCCAATCCCTGTGTTGGAAAGATCCCCTGGAGAAGGGAATGCCTACCTGTTCCAGTATTCTTGCCTGGAAAATTCCCCAGACAGAGGAGCCATGAGGGCACTAGTCCATGGGGTCGCAAAGAGTTGGACATGACTGAGCGACTGAGCACACACAATTCAACAATTAGTTGCAAACATCATGTCCCTTTATCCATATATTAGTATTTTGGGTATTACTTAGTGTATTCCAAGAACAAGGACATTCCATTACATAACTACAATTACACTATCAAGTTCATCCATACTCAAACATACCCTAATAATGTTTATTACGAACAATGCTGCAATAAACATTCTGGTAAGTCTATTTTTGTGAACATTTAAGTGATGCTGAGAAATGAATACCTAAAAGTAGAATTTCAAAGTGTGTGAAAATTTTATGTCCAGTTCATACTCAAATTTTGTCAATTATCCCAATAAGATTTATTGTGACAATTCCCACCCATCCCCCCCATGTAGATCAAATCAGGATTATTTATTCTGTAATAAAGAAACAATAGCTGAGTTTTTGTCTTTCATGATTCTTTCATCATATTTACATTTTTCAGGAGTGTAGCCAGCGGTTTGTAGAAGGTTCCTCAATTTGAGTTTGTCTGACTTTCCTCAAGGTTAGATTCAGGTGATGCATTTTTCTGTACAATGAAAACAAGTAAAACAATGGTGCATCCTTCTCAATTTATCACATCAAAAAAACAAACAAAAACAAAACCTCACAATATCAGTTTGTCCCATTAATAAAGATGTGAATTTTCATCATCTGCTTAAGGTAGTGTCTGCCAAGTTTTTCCATTGTCAAGTTGCCAGTTTTCCCATCATAATTAATATCTTATTTGTGGGGAGATACTTTGAGATAGATACTTTGGCTATATAAAATATCCTATTCCTTATGAGAATTTCACCCAATCATTTTAGCTTCCTTTAATTCTTGCCTGAACCAGTTAAAACTGAGATGGTGGTAAGATGGTGATTTTTCTAACGCATTTCTTCTACATTCTTAGATGGCATTCTATCAAGCTTTATTCTTTCTGTTGTTGACTGTTTGCTTGGTTTTGACTGCACTGGGTCTTCATGTTGCGCACAGGCTTTGTCTAGTTGTGGCAAGGGGGGCTGCTCTCTAGTTGCAGTAAGAGGGCTTCTCTTTGCCACGGCTTCTCTTGTTGGGGAGCACAGCTCTAGGGGTGCAGGCTCAGTAGCTGTGACGCACAGGCCGTTGTTCAGCGGCATATGTAATCTTCCTGGACCAAGGATCAAAGCCATGTCCCCTCCAGGTGGATTCTTAACCCCTGGCCACTGGGGAAGTTCCAAACTTTTGTTTTTTATTTTACCCTTTATGTCTATAAGAATACAATTGAGTTCGCCAAACACTGGTGGTCTCCTTGATGTGGAACTCTGTGCTCAGAGACATCATATGGGGCACAAAGACAAGACCATTTGTGTCCTACAGGGGTATGCAACTTGAGAGGAGAGATGGATTCAAGTCAGATGGTAGGAGGTGCTTTACTGGAGATACGAACCTAATGGGAAAGAGAGGAAATCCAAGAGAGGGTAGTTTTTACTGGAGCATGTGGAGTGACCTTGGAAGAGAGGTGGGGTTTTAGCTGAGCTTGTGATTTGTGGTACATGTGGTCAAAGACAGGCATTACAGTTGGAGGGAACAGCAGTGGGCATTTGGGAAATGACAAAGAACCCCTATGGTTAGAGCCTAAGTTTCCTGGGAGAAGAGATGGTGGGAGAAGAGACGGGGAGGAAAAGTGAAATTCCAGGCTGGGAAGATCAGCTGGGGTTGCCTCAAATCCCACACTGAAGAGTTTAGACTCCAGTTTACTCAGTGAGAGAAGCAATGAAACATATTTGAGGATGGCAGGGGTGGGGCGGGGTGGTGGTTACCTATGGATGATGCTTAGGGATACCTATGGATGATGCTAAGATTGTGTCTTACCCATGTTTGTATTTCCAAGGCCTACAACAGCACTCAGCACATGAAGGATATTCAGTAACTGTTTTCAGGCACCAATGATATGCTGGATGATTTAGAATAGGATTGTGTGTGTGTTTGTTTCACTTGTGAGTCTGGGTGATGATGGGAGGATGGAGCAGGGGGTGGTGGGCCCTTAACTCTAAAAGCAGATCTCTACTGAATTGTTCATAGAAAATGTTTAAAATAACAAGCTCTGAGACCACCACCATGCTCCCTGTGACTTAAATTTTCAGTTCCCAGAAAGCATGTTTGGGAATTACCTTTGAACAACTTTAGGTACCAGTAAAAAAAAACAAGACTCTTAGATAGTAAAAACATCCCATTGGAAACGATTTCATTCTATATCATCTTTATATTTCGAAATTAAAAAGCAAAACCAAAAAATGGGAATTCCCTGACAATCCAGTGTTTAAGACCCACGGCTTTCAATGTGGTGTCCCTGGTTTCAATCCCTGGTCCAGGAATTAAGATGCCTCAAACCCCGAGGCACAACCAACCTAACAAAGCAAAACACAAAAATATCTCTTCAAAGATGCATATGAACTTTAAGAGACTAAGCATTTTGTCAAAACACTGTAAATAACGTAGTTAATTTAATAAGGGGAAGCAAAGCAAGAAAGTAAAATGAGATACTGAAAATGACTGAGTGTAAATCATTGTAGAAGTCTTATTGATCTCTTAGGAAGTGAATTAATTTATATTTACATTTAAAACATCCCCAGGTTGTCCCTTTCCAACTTCAAATCTTGTAATCCCTCTTCAGCTTCTTTATTCTGCAGTGAGTCCTAAAAAATCTACTGGCTTGATTGAGAACATTTACATATTTCCCCAGCACAGAGTGTTGACAAGTTGTGGCAGTATTTGGTGGTTTCAAATGGAAAATCATTTGATCTTCACCTCCAGTTGCAATAAACACTTAATGGTATAGAGGTAATATTTAGGTATGTTTTTATTTAAAACATTTATTCTGGTTACAAATAGAATACATGGCAAGTGTGGAAAATCTAGAAAATATTCAAAAGTATAAAGCAATGTACAACTACCTGTCATTTCACCATCCAATGAGAGCCACCAAAATGCATCCATGTTTTGTATTTTCCTTTCATCTTTGGGTGTGTGTTTATAAAGACCTCTTAACTTTTATTTTACTTAACATATCATGAGTATTTTTCCATGTGACTAAATATCCTTTAATAATATAATTTGGGTAGCAGAACAGTAGCCACTATATGGATATACTATTGAACTACTCTCCTATAGTTGGGCAAACTCAGGTCTTTCCAATGTATAATATATTTCCTAGAGGGGGTATTATCTATTGTTCTAAATGTTGTTTACATTTTAGCCTTCTTCAACTTATTGTCCAGCTGTGCTCTTCAGAAGTTACACTAATTTACCTAACCATCACCAGTGGATAGACGTGAAGGCATGAAGAGTCTGCACTGGTCTTAGCACCATCCTTTTACACGTTTCATTCACAAATGAACCTCCAAAGGGGTATTTTCTTGTGCCCCGCGCACAGTTCACTTGAGCATGCATTACGAGTGCCTCACAGCCTAGGACCATTAGGGCTTTGTCATCACATGAACATCAATTGGCTCAAAACACCACTCATTGTGATGCTGGTGATGGGGCCTCCTTAATGTTCTAAGATTGTCTGGTGTAACTACTTCAGTTCAGGACTTTTCTCTTGACCTTTCCTATCATGTTTCAAGTCAGAATTCGTATACTGTACAGTTTAAGCTACAGTATGCCTGGCCTATAACTTGGTTCAAGGCGTTTACATTTGTCTGCTTATTATACTCACAAGGTGGAAAAAGCAATCCCAGTGCCCCCAAAAGGTAAAATATTGTTTTTTTTCCCCTATTACTAGAGTTTGAAAAATAGGATAAATTATAGTACATTTAGGAATAAGTGCACATTGAGAGTTTTATGAAATATTTCAGGAAGAACACATTTAAATCCAAATTTAAATATAAAATTTAATTTCTTAAGAACTGGGATTGAGATAGTAAAAAAAATATAATATGAAGTGTTTTTCTTAAGACCACTCTGATTTATACAAAAAGAAATATACAATCGTGTTTAAATTACATATTGTTTCATCACAAAAGGAATGGACATCTTTTCTCAGGTGTCTTAGTTTTTTGAGTAAAAACAGTTTGAATTTTGAATCTTCTAAATCTCATTTGAATCTTCTGTTTATTGTGTTCTTTTCTCAATGACTTTTTTTTTATGTGTGGTTTCAAGCAGTTGCCATTAATGAAAAGATTAAAAATGTGAAATATAGGACAATAGTTATATCTTAGTTTCTACTGATACAGATTCTAATACTTGGTGGACAGTCAATGATTATCAAGAAAAGTCACTTTAAATTGAATAATCCTACCCTGGAGGAGAATTTACTCCCTTATCAAAAAAAAAAGGATTTTTATTCATTGTCATGCTTTTTCTGTATCATGTTCAGTATCACTCAGAAATTTCACTCATTTTACTGAAATGCAATATTCTATCAATAGTTTCCAAAGTGAATAAAGTGTTGTCAAAAATAAGATCCTATAATTTCAAGTTCTCCCTGAGGTTTTGGCCAAACAACTGAATACAGATATTTCTTTTGCCGTGTCTTCCTGTGAACCCTACCCTAGTGATAGTTTCATATTTCTTTCATCTCATCATTCAGAAGCTATTTATCAATTTTTTTTCCCCACTGCCTCCTTCAAATCTCCCCCTCCCCCACGGCTGACTGCCTGCTCAACCCCCACACATTCAGGCATATTTATTCCCGTAAAGATAGTGACACTTAGGGTTTATTCTAAGACTAAATCTGTGTTGCCCAGTGACTAAGGACTTAAGCATGCACACTGCTTCTATGCTTACCCTCCTACCTAACTTGACTACTCAACTTTTTCTCTTTCCTTCCCTCCGAATTCTCTGTTTTGGAACAGTTCAGTTACCCTCTGCTGCCAGGCCACTAATTGATTTTTGAAACCTGACATTTGTTTTTTGTTTTCTCCTATCTTCCCTAATGGTACAGCACTACTAAGCAGGAAAGAATGCAAAGAACTAGAAAGTTCAAAGTAATTGAGGATCTGTCCATTCACACTGTCTGGCTTCACGCCAATGCAGAACCTGAAACATTTGAAAAATATTTATCGAGTTTTAACCCTTTTGGTTAAGTCGAAGAAGCAGGTTTGCTGCTAGATCATTTGTGTTCACAGCAGCAGCAAGTAAGCTTGGTTGAACATGTCTTTTATACGTTCAGAACCGCATAGCAAATGTCTCTGAAAAGATTACTTTCCAATTTCCGTACTATTGTACAGTGCTAAGCTAGTTATTTTCTGTGAGCTTGCAGAGCTGGGTATTTCAGAGAAACCATTACTTAAAAGTGGCAGCCCTATTTCATGAATCCTTCTGTCGGAGATGAAATTTAAATAAATGCTACTGTGTTTGAGCAAAAAAGATTGTATTCAGCTTTTCTGCTATAAATATGTTTCGAGCCCAACCATAGCTAGGTTCATATCTATATTCATTAAGAAAATTGGAAATAAGAAAAAAATTTAAAGGACTCTAAATATATTGTATTAAAAGTTTATCAAATAGGCTTTTTTTTTTTGCATTGGAAACAATTTTGTACATGAAGACATGTCAAAAATTGGTGTGAAATATAGACACATTTCCGGTAAAATAACTGGATTTTATTGCAGTGAAAGCTTAGGTTGAAATAATAGGCCACTGACACTGTGGTGAAAAACAACAACAACAACAACAACAACAAAAGAGAGAGAGATAAAGGGAAAGGTCTAGAGAGGCTTAAAAGCAAATTAAAATATAAATAGATGCCAACTTGTATTAAATGTAAGTTAGATTTAGGTTTAAAGTTAAAAAGAATATAAAAGTTCTATTAAGAGTTATCTATGTGACACGGATTTGATCATGTTAGTAGCATTAACCACTAAAAATCTTTCAAGGTTCAATTTTTTTTAAGTTATATTAAATCCCATAACAATTCTATAATCTGTTTCTAAATTATTTAATTACCTAATTGGATTCAGTATTAGAGAAAATCAGGGCAAGTTTTTTTTTCCAGGGCAACTTTTTAAAGATGAAGGTGGATAGTGTGGGATTGTTTGCTTGGAAAAAATTTGCCAAAACACATTAAATAATCCTTTGGTAGCGTGAAAATAGTCATCAACCATTCTCTGAAAACAGTGATCACAGCTGTAAAAATGAATCTTTAGTAAAAACAGAATGAAAAGGAGAAAACATATTTTACAGCATAATTTTATGTTTTCTAACGATAAACACCCATAACACTTTATGTGTTTATTAATTTTTTAAATCCACACACTGAAAAGAGATCCATATCTTTTGATAGATTCACTCTTTGAGGAGAACATTTTCCTAAGAACACTTTTTTTGGTAAAAGCTGCTTTACCATGAAGTGATGATGTAGATGTAAAAATGTCAACATATGTACATATGTAGTAATATTCCAGGCATTTTTATTGCAGTGTAGTGTTATGGCTTCCCAATAAGCCAGATAAAAATCATGTATAAGAACATTAAGGATTAAGGAAACTGGTTTCCTTAGGTGATTGCTGGCAAAATTCACCTTCCCACTCTAACACAGTAAATGGGCAGTGAAATATTTTCGCTCTTACTTTCCGATAAGTTTGGATTCCCAGTTTTCAGAGCTGCTGCGTGTCTAACGTTTGTGACTTTCTTTGGTTGTCTTTTCGTAGGAGTAGGTGCCACGGTGTAAGGTAAATGTGCTACGTTTCTGTTTTACAAACATTAAACTCCACTTTTTGAACACACAGTGGTAGCAAAAATAAGTCAAAGATGTAATGTCTATTTAAATACATTTCATCTAGTCGTTGGTGCTTAAATTAGATTGCATGCTTTGGCTAGAATCAACAGTGTAAATATTAAAAACTTGAAAATTCATGTGCCCCATCTCCCTCCTCTCCATACCCAGATACGAGGTTGAAATGTGTTTGAAAACTTCTCCTACCCATTTAAATACTGCAAGGGAAAAAAAACAAGCTTTTATGTAAGGACTTAAAAAAAAAAAAAACCTGCCATTAAACCTTTTATTCAGGACATTCCAAATTTGCTTTGCTGAAGGGATTTATTCACTGCTAAAGATACACAGAGACAAGAGCTGTGTTTAAATGTTTATCACATCGCCCCTAGTTTTGCGCTAAAGAAAAGTACATTTTGTATATTTAAAAATACACGCTCATTAAACAAAACTCTCCAAAACCTTAGCGCCCCCACCTAGCTGCCTTCTAGGTTTCAACTTGCGAGTTTCAGGTCCTTGCACAACACCTAAGGCGTGCAAAACTCTTTTTCTCGCTAATCCTGGCAGAGAACAGTCCGAAGAGATCTCCCTCCACGTCTCCACCCGAATTCCCTCTCTTCCCCAGATTCCACTCGCTTCTCTTTTTCCCTCCGCCCCCGTCTCCGCCAGCCCAATCTGTCAGAGAGGTTGTGTACAAACTGCGCGGCCGCCCTGCGCGCGAAGCTCGTGGCCCGAAAGGGGTGCGGTCCGCCTGGCGGAGGCGGGGCCCTGAGCGAGCTTCTCCCTTTTCATAGGCCAGCCGCTCAGGCCCGGCCAGCTTCGGGGCCCCTCGATTCGTCGGAGCGCTGCCAGTCTGGCCGGCTGGCCCCGCCTCCCTGGAGTTGGGTAAAATAGAGGCGGGCGTCAAGTGTCAGTAGTCGCGGGGCAGGTACGCGCGCTAGCAGCTCGCTCGCGGAGGCAGGCAGTGGTGGGAGCGGACTCCGGGGAGCTGGGGAACGCGGTGGGGCGGGGCGGGAGAAAGTGGTCGCCGGGTGGACGTCGGCGTTTACGCGTGGCGGAGCGGAAGAGTTTGCCTTTTCGTGCGCGCCTTTGAAAACCGCGCCTGCTTGTGAGCTGAGGGGTCCGTCCGGAGCCAAGCTCGCCGACCCGAGCAGCGTGGGCGACGTGGGAAGCGCGCTTGACTCGCGCCTCGCGCCCGGAACCGCCCCCACCCCCCACCCCCGAGTGCCCATGGCTACGCGGGTGCTGACCATGAGCGCCCGCCTGGGACCCGTGCCCCAGCCGCCGGCCCCTCAGGACGAGCCCGTGTTCGCGCAGCTCAAGCCCGTGCTGGGCGCCGCGAACCCGGCCCGCGACCCGGCGCTCTTCCCCGGCGACGAGCTGAAGCACCCGCACCACCACCCGCAGGCGCAGCCCGCGCCGCCACAGGCGGCTGCGCACCGCGGCCCAGGGCTGGGGGGCAGCCCCGCCCTGCCCTCCTGGCCTGGTGGGGGCACCCGAATGAGTAGAGTCTATGGGGAGTCTGCCCTGGCAGCTCTTTCCGGGAAAGGTTCAGGAGGGAACTGGTGCTCACGCGCACCTTAGTTGTTTTTCTACCATTTGGGGGATGAAAGCTCGTTCCTCACGCCGGTCCTCGATTCCGTGTGTCCCCTAAATCCGCCTCCTCCCGCTGCCCCGGCCTTGGAGGTCACCCGCTGTCCCGACCCACGGCGTCCCGGGCTCAGTGGGAACGCAAATCGGGGCGGGGGGCGGTGCTGGAGGGAGGCCCCTCGGGGTGCTAGTTTTGTATCGCTTGGTGCAACCTGCTTTAGACGCGATCGTAGGGCTCCTTTGGGAAACGGGAGTTAGAAAAGCTCAGGTGGTGTTGGAGCGCTAATTTTTTTTCTTAGAAAAGAAAGAAAGAAAAAAAGAAGGACCGGGAGGTGTTGTTTTCTTCATCTGCGCGTAAATTTCCTCCCGGAGCCGCGTTGAAAGCTGGCAGTTGGCTTTTACACTTGCCCGGCAGCCGAATTAGAGCAACCGCCTGTTTCTTTCGCCCACGCAGGGAGTCATATAGCCCAGAAAAAACTTCCCGGGACTTTTAGCCTGTCCCAGGGAAAAAAAAAATTGGAAACATACCCACATGCAAACAGCTGGAAGAGCTAAAATCAGAAACCACTAACCACCATGGGAGCAAAGCGCACGAAAGGGTTTAGTTCGGTTTATTTCAAGACGCTTCATTTAATAGCCCCTTGGTATACTGTGTATTTGCTATACCCAACTCCTGCTCCGGGGGTCTGCGAATGTCACCGTGCTGTGCAGAGGCAGCGGCATTTGTCAGAGATGTGACCCACAAGACCAGCGCGTTTTTATTTTTAAATCGTATCTTTGCGGGAAACCCGAGTCTATATCCACACAAAATGATCTCGGGGTCTGAAAACTGAAATTAAGTAGTAGCAAAAAAAAAAAAAAAAAAGACTGTTATTCACTTGTTAAAATGCCACGGTTAATAGTTCTGTGAGCATCTAGTTGGGGGTGTTGTTTCGTATGTGTGTGTTTCTGTTGAAATTTCCTTTCAGTGCTAAAAATTTTAGAAGTTTGTGTTATACTAGGAAAGATGATAGCTGCAAAAGACTGAGGGAGACCAGTTACAAGCTGGACTGTGTCCTAAAGAGGAAAAATCACCCTTTTAAAACCCTGTGGGCATTTGTCAGTTTGCTGCTTAGAAGACACAGGAGGATAAGGGATGACTGAGCTTTTTACAGAGTGAGGGGGAATGTAGCATTGGCCCACTGAGGACACATAAATGTTTGGCTGATGACTGTGCTGGCTACTAGCAGCCTCTCTCCACCCACGGCCCCTTAGCACCACTCTACCAAAGGAATGGTTTTCCCCTAGGTAATTAAAGATCTGTTTTAGATAGGGATATGAATAGGAACATTTCATTATCTTATTAACCAATTACAGAATCTGCTGATTAAAATCAACATTTAGATCAAACTGGTGGAGAAGTTGGTTTGTTCTCTCAGTGGATACTGTGTTTTGCTCAAAACATTGTATTTAGGTTTCCATTGAACTGTAAACTGGAAAAGGCACTTAAATAGACAAAGAACATGTTTTATATTAGCTATTTCAGCAATATCTACCCAAGCAAAAAAAAAAAAGAAAATTTTGCAATATTAACCTTAACCAGAAAGGTTTACTGAGGTTTTTTTTTTCCCTTTTCAACCACTGGATTTACCTATGTGACGTGAATAAGAGAGATAATTTGGCCTTATTACAATACTGTATTTTCAGTTGTAATGGAGCAGAGAATCCTGCTTGTATATGAGTGATGATAAAGTATACCTTATTATTGCATCAGAAAGGAATATTTTTTTCTCTTTGCTTCCTTTTTCTTCTTGATTTGTCTCACTTTTTGTCTGGGGTTGACTGGCAGCGATTTTTCCAAACACTTGTTATACACAGTTTCGTAAGGCTTTTGGTGAACCATTTGTTACACAGTTGACAAATAAACCTGATATGTTTATATAAGGCACACTTAGAGGAGTTTGCCTTGGTACTTTTCATAGAGATTGTTGGGGGAATTTTTAGTAAGCACAGTTTGTTCTTCCCGCGATGATGAATTGGGTGGATTATACATGTTTCTATCTCTTCTTTTTTAGACAAGATGTGAAATGGAGAAGTACCTGGCACCTCAGCTTCCTCCAGTTTCTATAATTCCAGAACATAAAAAGTATAGACGAGACAGTGCCTCAGTCGTAGACCAGTTCTTCACTGACAGTGAAGGGTTACCCTACAGTATCAACATGAACGTCTTCCTCCCTGACATCACTCACCTGAGAACTGGCCTCTACAAATCCCAGAGACCGTGCGTAACACACATCAAGACAGAACCTGTTACCATTTTCAGCCACCAGAGTGAGACGACCGCCCCTCCTCCGGCCCCAACCCAGGCCCTCCCCGAGTTCACCAGCATATTCAGCTCCCACCAGACCGCAGCTCCAGAGGTGAACAATATTTTCATCAAACAAGAACTTCCTACACCAGACCTTCATCTTTCTGTCCCTCCCCAGCAGGGCCATCTGTATCAGCTCCTGAATACACCGGATCTAGATATGCCCAGTTCTACCAACCAGACAGCAGTGATGGACACTCTTAACGTTTCAATGTCGGCCGCCATGGCAGGCCTTAACACTCACACCTCCGCCGTTCCGCCGACCGCCATGAAGCAATTCCAGAGCATGCCCCCTTGCACATACACCATGCCAAGTCAGTTTCTTCCCCAGCAGGCCACTTACTTCCCCCCGTCACCACCAAGCTCAGAGCCTGGAAGCCCAGATAGACAAGCAGAGATGCTTCAGAATTTAACCCCACCTCCATCCTATGCTGCTACCATTGCCTCTAAACTGGCAATTCATAATCCAAATTTACCTGCCACCCTGCCAGTTACTTCACAAAACATCCAGCCTGTCAGATACAATAGAAGGAGTAACCCCGATTTGGAGAAACGGCGCATCCACTACTGCGATTACCCGGGTATGTGATCCTACCTGGTTAAAGAATCAGTGTGTGTGTTTAGTGTGTGCCATTTTCCACCTCTCATTCCAACTTTACATGGGAGAGTAGTGGCTGACAGTTAAAAAAAATTCACCTGCTCTGCTCTTGTCGCATCCCAGTCTCCAGGGCCTTACCCAAGTAACCATTTAGTTAGTTTGTGCTTATTTGATGTAGTAAAAAAAAAGTTTGGAATATTATGGGACCAAAAAAAGGTACTGAACTCTTTTCTTTTTAATGTTAAGTACATGAGAGTCTTGCTCACTTTGTTTACTGTGGCAATGTAAATTGGAGTTCTTAATTCTAAATTAAGTATCCTGGAAAGGGATTGCTTAAGTAACACAGGGGAAAAGAAAGGGTGGTAATGAAGAGTGGGTTGGTACAAGACAAGACCATCTACAGAATAGATTTCAAGGTTGGTTCTGATAGCATGTAAGCATATGCTCTTTCTTGAATGAGGTATGTGGCCCAAAATATAAATTGATGACGGTGATGAATATATCTACAAGTTGCTGGCATAAGCTAGTTTATGATTAATACAGGGTATAATTTATTGACTCTGGTACATGATATGACATGACATACTAAATGAAAAAACAAGAAATGTGGGAGTACAGAAAATTGCAGTCATCTTGGATAATGGTTTAACATTGTCAGCTCTAGAGCCATTAAAATTTTTTAAATCACCGAGGTATGTGTTATTAGTATAAAGCACCTACTGGTATAAACATAGATTTCCCATTTGTAGTTTGGCTTGATTGTCTGCTCTCGTTCTTGCTAAAGTGAAACATAAAGCAAATCACTTTATACCTTTAATCAGGTAATAGGGGGGAGTATACTTTAAAACATCTCTTAAAACTGAAGCTTCAAATATCTCCTTGCAAGAGAGATTTCATCTTTAAAGCCTGATTTTAAACACTGAATCATCAGATGTAAAGATTTCAAAAGGATCTCCAGAATGACACGCTGTTCTTCTCCTTTATTTCAGGCTGCACAAAAGTTTATACAAAGTCTTCTCATTTAAAAGCTCACCTGAGGACTCATACTGGTATGTAATTTTCTTGTTAATTCTGTGAGTTGTGTAAATAGTATAAGTGGTATTCATCCTTTTAAAAGCCAGCACGTGTTTGATCTCTTCTTTCTTCTGTCAACTTTTATTTTTTAATGGCTTACCTTTTTCAGCACTGCCTTGGCTCAAAATTCAGTTCAGTGAAAAAAGTTTGGTTCCAGGAAGGCTGATGTTCCCTCATTAAAGCCTTGTCCTGTCACCTCACATAGAATTAATTGCTCCCAAACATAAACAACGATGTTTACTAATGGATTTTAAAACTTTAATGGCACTGCTGTTCCTATCTTGAAGGAAAAAAATGTAACTCATTTTCTCCCTCCGTAACAAATCAGCTGGCTTCTATAAAACTACATCAAACACTAAAGCCTTTTCCATTTAGCAGGTAAAGCGTAATTGCTTAATAAATTATCTTAATTTCACCTTGAGCCTAAAATATCTGTTTAGTATGTTTTCCCTGCTGGTAAAAGGTGGGCTGGAAGTTGAAAAATACTAAAATCAGGCAAAACTAGGGTCGTGGTTTAAAAGCTATTTTACATTCTACCCCAGTCCATGTTGTACATTGGAGAGACTATTCCAGCTAATATCTCATCCGTGTTTAAAATGTTTAGCCCCTATAATTTTATAAAAACTTTTGTCAGATCTATACACTCATTTTAAAATGCTTTTTAATTTCAAAACTTTATATCAGAACTTATTTGAGGACGAAATTAGGTGGTGGCAAGCTGTAAAAATCTCCAAATACCCAAAGTATTTTTAAAACTACGGGTGGTTACCATTAGTGATTTTCTTAAAAGGATAGGCCTAAAGGAAAGAACCTATACAAAGTGATTGTGTTTTTTTTTCTCTCCGTAAATGCAGCTTTAACCTAAAGTTCAGAGAATAAGTTTGCTAATAAAAGCAATGACCTAGCAAAATGTTTTATTCCATCATTGCTATGGAAACCAAAGTATTCAACAGTTCCTTTGAATGGGCTGCTGGATTAGTGTGAGGACTTGAATCTCCCCAGGCTAGATGTTACTATGGAAATTGAGTTTTGATAAATGAAGTAGTTATCTCTAACTGCTGCATTAAAAAGTAAAAGCCTTTGAACAAAGGTCAGTGCTGAGATAGAGCTCAAAGAGGAACATGGCTGCAGACATTTCATATGCGCATTGGGAAGTATTGCTTGATATTCCAGTGATAAATACTACTTAAAATCTAAATAGTGTTGGCGACAATGTGGTAGATTCCAGGGCTTTCTGAGAAATTGCTTTTAAAGAAAAGACATCTCCTCTATTTATCAGTGAAACCAGTGGGTTGTTTCAACCTGAAGTTTTTAGGTAGAGACAAAAAGGCTATCTCCGAATCTCAAAGTAGAAGTTATATTTATACTTAAATATCCATTAAGCATGTAAACTCAATCTGAAGTTTTCAGCATACAAATGACAAAAAAACCATGAAAACAGTCTCTATAGAAATACTTAACAATGCTTTTATAGAATATATGTTATATATTTAGGAAGAAACACTGAAAATGGGTTTTTACCTGAATTATGATTAAGGAGGAGAGGAAATAACTTCAGAACTTTTGAGCTCTTGTCCTTTCTCCTTTGAAAGTCCTTGAAATGGGAGATAGGAAGGAGGAAACAATGTTTCTCCTGAGGTTAAAGTCTCCTAATAAAGGAGGAGCGTGATTCCATATATCAATGCAATCAACTGCTTATTGCTGGGATGTAGTCAGGACATATCTAAATGGCCTTGTAACCCCTGGCAGGGTTTAGTGCTCTGAATGCTTATACCTGCGATTCTGGAACTTGACCTGCTGGCAGGGAAATTTAATAGTGGGTTGTCTTAATGACGCTCATACTGAAAGAGATAAAAACCAACTAAAAAGATGGAGGCCTAGTTTGAATCCCATGCATTGACTTTTTTGCCCGATCATAAATGTGTGTCCATTGACATCTAATGAGTGAGACCCCGTAATCCAGTTTAATAAAGTTTTGTTTGATAGCCTCTCAGATGCCTCGAGGAGGGTTTGTGGCAGACTTGTTCATCTGGCTAAACCCGTTCTTGGGTAATCATAGAGCATTGAGGTTGTTTTCTCCTCATTTTTAGTTTCTACACAATGCCTTTGAAAATTACCTGTGCGCTCTCATTGCATCCTCCCCACCCTGTCGTTTTTTTAATGAATTTATCTGAAGCTAGCAAAGTGGTTTTTTTTTTCCTTATTCCTTTAAAGGCCCAGGTATTTCTAAATAACTTCTCATGTAATTAGCTTTTTTTGTTAGAGGACTTTAAAAATTTATATGGGAATGTTGATATTGTATTTTTGATATAAAACCTTTTTAATGATTGCCAGAATGTGGCAGAATGTGTAGGACCCTAGGACTTCTTTAGAAAATAATTGTAATTGCTTTAAAATGTCAAGTTACCTTATG